CAGTTTGGGTTTAATGTTAAAAACTGAACTGAAACCACTTAGATAATTGTCCTACGTAGTTGAAATTTTATACGCTGGGTCTGTTCCGATGGCAATTAATTTTTATGATAAGCACGACCTTATTCTGCACTCAGATTACTCATCTGTGAACTCCCTAACAGATAACACACACGCATCTTTATATATGACAACTCTAACGGTCGGTAACTCAAAATAATCTGGCTGCTGCGTCCACACTTACTTATTCCACGCAGGTGAACTCTTTAACGATTTACAATAGAGATAAGTATTTGTTCAAGCAATCAATTATTATGACTTGTGATAATTGATTGGACGGGGCTATGGTTAGCAATAGTTTATGTGTTACGCTCAAAGACCGAAAACGTTCATTGAGCGAGTTCATCACGCGTTGTTGCAATCGCAGAAACACCACAAAGCGAAATTTCCTTTCATGATAGGTATTTTAAGTTGCATTTTATATTTTTTGAGTGATCTCTCTTTTTATCAATACAGTATCTTTTGCAATGGCATATTATGAAACCTTGCCGACTTCCAGCTGATGACATAGATGCTGAGTGAAGTGTTAACGACGTTGAGGGCACGAATAGCTGGGGTAAACTTATTTCGTGCATAAAACCTGTTGGATAGACCTTCATTGTAACCTAACTGATAGAGATCTGACGGATTAATGCTCAAAACAACACGCAACACATTCCTGGGAACTGCACGTCCTCTAATAACTTCGGCAACTCTTACTATTGTTCATCTAATCTAAGAGTATGAAACGTCAAACGGTACTTTGACGTTTCATACTTTTCAAGACGAAACAACTTTGTACAGGCGTACCTCACACAATTTCAATAACCTTTGCCGTAAAACCATAGAATTATAAAGGTATTTTTATTTCATCACATGATGTACAATTCTTAATGACTGCAATTGATTGGTGATTAAATGATATCGATACCTCTTAAGAATCGGATATTGTAGTAATCGATTTCTTTAATCTGTCATAACTGTCAAACGGTAGCTCTTAGATTAGATGGACTATAAAGCGTTAGAACCAATTTCAACAGAGGCAAATTTTAAATTAGACTAGACAAGTTAGAACCTGCCTGTCGTGATATCGTTACACTGACTAGTGATCAGAACACGTCATGACTTTTCTTTGTTGCCACAATGCGATATGGTTGTAGAATAAGAAATAATATGAGCGTTTGCGAGCTTTGCGAGAATATGATATCAATTATACTACTTAATATTAGACCCTTACATTAGTCTTTTTTTTTGTAAAATATATTTAACAAATCAATGTATGCACCGTTGTTATCTATGCACTTTTGCCCTCTCATAGGTAGTTCATTGATCCCTTTACTAAAAAAAACCATGGGGGCGAGAATCATTAAACTCTTTAGAGACGGTTTGGACTGCCGCATCGGAGTTGAATTTTTTTCTTTGTAAGAAGTTGTCCAAATTTCGGAAAATTGGTAAGGAAATTACTCATATCATCACGTGACTGTAGCATAGCACACATCAATACTGCCTTTATCAGCAAAAACAATAAACTTTTTAAGAATCTTAATCCGTCACCACACTGACAATGAAATATATTTATTATTTCATTGTCAGTGTTGTGACGGATGACACACTGACAATGAAATATATACCACACTGACAGTGAAATATATTTAATATTTCATTGTCAGTGTGGTGACGAATTAAGAATGAGTGTTACCGCCTCTGTCCATCCCGTGTGTGTCGTAAGAGCCGACCAAGGGAGGACAAACAGCGGGACAACTGCAAAGAGAAGGAAAACTTGAAACAAACCCTGTACCAACCCCTCTAGCCAGCGGCGTGGTATAGTAGACCAAAACCTCCTTTCTAAGGAGCCAGCATTGGCCTATTAAAGGCTGTTGATAACGATGATGACCTATTTCATCACAAATAATAGATACATATTTAATACACAGAAAAGTGGTTTTCGGCGTTCCTAAAAGACCCGCGTATACGGATAAAGACCTTTTTTTCTTATATGCATATCACTAGTCAGTTATAAAACAAAAATATTGAAAGGACAGTCTACAAGGATCTTTTATAAGGAACTTAATTATGCTTAATCAAGAATTAGTTAATCAAGTAATACAACACTTTACAAGTATTACAGTCTGTAAGTTTAGCCATACCTATGGATAACAGATAGACTATTTCATTTTCTATAAGTCTGACTTCAAGACCACGTCAGGTACCCGCAACCCAACAATGAAAATGTAACGATTGATTCAAAAGAAAATACGTGAAAGCGTGCAAAATTCACAATCGCATTTATGTTAATGTTAATAACCTAAGTTAATATTACTAACTATTTACTAATAAATCATTTTTCAGTACTAGCATTGTCGAGTTGGTTATATTGCTTACAAGGTGCTTTAAGCTAGTAGTTACATTTCGTTTATGAGTTTTATGCGATGATTCACCTTCAATAAGCATAATTGTAAATGTAAAGCTTGTATCGAGTACGCGCGGTAGCTCGTATTATGTTTGTGCGAGGTAAATTGGCACTTTACGCGCGACGCGCTACCCATTTTATGTATTCTTACCGCAAAAACTTTCACCTCGTCTGAGCGAGCCTTAGAGCGGTTTCACGTCCGATCAGAATCTGATCCAAATCTGTGAAAATACGGTCCGAAGTAGCCGTACAACTATTTCTATGGTAGCTTAAGCACTAGAGCTTAAGCACTAGATCACCATTCCGGGCAAGATTATTACCGGACGGAACAAAGTAGTACTACTATTATTTGTATGAACACACCCAGAATTCTTTACTTCATTTGTGTCGTTCGTACGAACCAACATTTATCTTGAGCTATTATTATGTAAAAATAATATCGCACTAAGGAAACATTTACAGCTGTTTCGGAGCGTTTTTAGTGGTTTTATGCTTTTTGTGGTCAAACAGAACATTTCAAAGCCGCCATGCTCTATATTCTTATTTTACATAAGTACATTATTAAAAAAAAATGTTTTATATTTTTCTTTAATCTGAATAAACTTAAAGTCGTCGCTTAAAGTTTGAAAAATTTACTTCAATTTTTTCATTTTATCTACGCAATTAAAAGAATATAAAGAAAAAAGAAACCTATAATAATAACTGTTTTATATTTTTCAAAAAGTTTTTTAGTTTTAGTTAGTTTTTTTTAGTTTCTCAGTTATAATATATGTAAGAATAACGATTAAAATGTAACGAGTCTCTTATGTAAAATATTTACTTTTAAAATATTCTAACATAAAGCTATTTACGATCTGTCCGATTCGATCGATCCGACTCGTTGTATCTCAATTATCTGTTTACAATTAAATCATCATGCTATTCCAAAAAAAAGATCCGTATATCTATACCTATTTCTTAGCGTTCCATGGATTCACCGTGCGGGTGAGTCCGCTGTCTGTGTCAATATTTGATACGAGCCTAGCAATGCCGCTTTGGATATTTGTTCAAGAAAAGAGCTTACTGAAGCTCTTGGCAATCCAAAGTCTTTAAGTACGTTGTAGTGGGATTTAGCTGGTATACACCTCACACCCACTTCCACGGCATACAACGCAACGAAATAACCATTTTTAGTTATTTCGTTGGTTAAGTCAAAGTCAAGAACTTTCTTTTTAAAGGGTGGTCTTTAGTTAGTAAGGTATGTTTTTTTTCCCACGGCACCGTGAGTTCTACTCTACTACAAGAATTTACAAAGAAATATGTCTGGTCTGATTTTCATACGTGTCCACTAATAATGTTCAGTCTTTGGCGGTATTTGTAGTTGAGTACGGCTTTTGTGAAGTTTTTTTTGTTGAGTCTTCCTTTACAAACTCGATGGTAGTTCTTATGTTTGTTGTTATCCTTTTTTTCGCTCTCGCCAGTGATAAACTTATAGCTTCGCGTATGGTTTGTAGTACCCTATCATGGCGACGTAAATACTCGTAATGACCTCGGTCTAGTAGTCCTGTCGGTAAGTGCTTGGCTGTACCTATTTCCGCACTGCACAGCGTACAAGCCTTTTCTGTAGCCTTTTCTAATATTATTAATCTGAAGAGTTTGTTTGGTTTGAATTGAAGAATTATTTTACTTTTCGCGGCTTATTTGACATCACGAATTGAACATCAATTAAAAATCTTGTCCGAACGGGCAAAAATAACTCCTTTTGAAGGACGTAGACAAAGTTGCTCGTTGAGTGAGTCTGAACTAAGCTATGAAGTAGTGAGAGATCATGTCTCGGATCTATATGTACATTGCTGATGTACTCCATGAAAAAATAGGACTGTAGAGTTTTTGTGAATTGTTTGAACATGTTTATTAAAATAATGAAATAAATGTAATAAAACTATACTAAAATTAATATCACAACGGTTATCAGCAGTGCATTACTCATGATATCAGTTTACAGGGCACAAAACAGCAATCAAGAGTCGCAATTCAAAGTCAAAGTAATATATAATGTTCATGTAAATGGGAAACGTACATGATAATATATTTTCCAATAACAGTATTATAGAATGATACAGCTTTACTCAAAAATATTACACATATTCGAAAGAAACCCAGAACTCGAATAGTGCTATAGTCATGAATATTTAAAAAGTTAATTTGTTTTCTTGTGCAAATTATAAGTTGCGAATATTACGTATTAAAACTTTATTATTATTTTTTAAATAATATACTGCAAAAAAGATAAGCACTATTAGTTTTACAAACAGTATATTTTCTTTGATTAGCATTAGTATGTAGTATTTAATAGCAGTGACCCACGATTTCAGTTTTTGTACCGAATTAGAGAGAATTAGATCCACATTCGTGAGTAGTTATAAGCCTTCTGATTACTACAGTACTGACCCTAGTCTACTTAGGGACGAGTCGTCCGTATGTGGCATCATATTCTTTTTGATTTTTTTAGTTAAGTTTTGAAACAAGCACGATTGATTTAATAAATAAACTTAAATGAGAATATTGATTTCAGAATGCGAGCTTAACATGGAATACAGACAGTCCGGACTTCACACCATGCTTCCAAAAAACTGTTCTAGTATGGATCCCGTGTATGTACCTGTGGTTAGCCGCTCTCCTTGAAGTATACCAAATGATTTTAAGTAAAGAGGCCAACATATCATGGAACAAACTGAATTTGATCAAAATGATTTCAACGCTATTATTGATATTTCTGCAACTAGTAGACATCAGTCGAACTGTTTTTGTGCTTCCAAGAGAGACGAATAAAATTTTTGATGCAGATTATTATGGTCCAGTTGTCAAATTTCTGACTTTCGTAAGTATTGCTTGACTGAAGACTTCAGCTACTTGAAATTTATGAATTCGAAAAGACAGTTTAATATGGTCTCTATTCCTTAAGTCCTAGACAAGTGACATAAGCAAATGCATAATTTTGTCGACTTTGTATAGGACGGTAAAAGTGCAGACGGTCAGATGGTACTCGTAGGTAACTAACTACCACCGGCCATGTATACCTACAACTCAAGTAGGGAGGGCATAAAATCACATTCACATGTGATAAATCATATCATTTACAAATCATATTATGGCTTGGGTGACTTACTTACGAAATCACTGTTAATCTTATATTATTATTATTTTGATTGATTTTTATGCATGTGAATTCACTTACAAAACCAATCATTTCATGAAATGAATATGATTTAGAAGCAGCAATAATTCTCATGTCTAAACTCAAGAGTCCTAAGTGCGTTACCGGCCTGTTAGTCCGCACCTCCAGAATCAGGAGAAGGAGGGGTCAGGCCCCGGGTAACCTCACTCACTCGGTAAAAAGTAACTAAAGAATGGCTTAACACTGGTTTTCTGGGAGTATCACTGACACATGACTCTCCCCACATTTCGAAATTAATATTCAGTTAAGAAACTACAGGATTTTTACAATTTCAGTCTTATTAGCGCTAACTAAGAAACAATGAAACGAAACCCTGTTGGGCATTTTTGTTAGTTTACGTAGATCGTGTATTGTACTAATGTATAAAATAAAATCTATTTTATTTAAAAAAAATGCAAATCCGTGACGTCCGTGAAATACCTAGTAACAAACACACTTAAACATGCACTTTCGTATTTATCACATCAATAAAAGCGTAGTTTTAAATTAACCTATTTCAAACGTAGTTTTCTCGTAAAGCCATTATTATGTATATTTGACATAGAAAATTATACCATTTAATTTGAACTTAAATGTTCCTTGCGTCAATTATATTTTTCAGAAACATCTGCAGTACTCTTCTTTTGTTCATAGTTGTTCTTATTTGGAAAGTTATATTATGTTAAATTTTTTGTATTTTCAATTTTTATTGTCTCTTTCAGGTATTAACAGCAACTCTAATATATTACAACAAAAAATGCGGAATGAGAACTTCAGGTGTACTTTTTATATTCTGGTTGCTCCTCATTTTAGCTGGGTTACCTCAGCTAAGAACTGAAATAAGGAACTATTTAGATAATCGAAATAACCTATACAATATTTCAAGTTATATTATGTACTACTTTATAGTAGTAACAATGTTTATATTGAGCTGTTTCGCCGACTTACCACCAGTAGACACACCTTACGTATATGATAAGGTACCTACTTTTTATATATATATGTATATTATTAAAGGTTTGTGTAGTCCAATACACAGTTTGCCCGTGAAATCAAAGGTCACTATACAAAAGTAGCGGTATTTAAAAAAAAACTTGACAAAGTACAATTACAAAAGTGGGTCAGGTTGGTTTTCAGAAGGCCAACGTCGCTAATAGTATTAATTTCGAGGCCTATGAATCATACTTATACATATTTAACATATATTTGATCTGGAATTCTCTTGCTTTTCTTTGCTGTTGCATTATTCGTATTTATTTAATCTTTTTAGAGGCAATCCCCAGAAGATGCATCTGGCTTCCCCAGCCGCCTCACATTTTCCTGGTTCGATCCTATAGCTATAACAGGTTATCGTAGAACTCTAACAGAAAGTGACTTGTATTCTATAAGCCCTAAAATAAATTCTAAGGAATCCCTAGCAGAATTTGAAAGAAACTGGATGAGAGCCTCGAAGGAGCAAGGACCGTAAGTGCTAATCTTTTTAAGTAAATTGACAATTAATTTGTATTATTAGCGACAGAACCGACCATCGTTGGGGAAAACGAGTTTTTGAGTGGAGACCTTACTCAGCAAACGTAGTGTAGGGCGCCCACAGGCGCCAGGTGGAGTGACGATTTGCGCAAGATGGCTGGCAGGAGCTGGATGCGAGAAGCTGAAAATCGATCTAAGTGGTGTGCAATGGGAGAGGCCTATGTCCAACAGTGGACTGCGATAGGCTGATGATGATGATGATGACAATTAGTTACTCTTATGCACATAATTTTTATTAGGGCCTTAATATCATTGCTGAAATATGAGATAACACTGATGCCAAGCAATTGTAGGGTTTATCCAGTTGTGGGGATTTTACTGAGCCACACCTAATTCTAGAATATACAGTTTAAATATGTGTATTATTTTACCTTGGTGGTTATTTCTGATTGGTTGTGATTATGTTTATTTGTGTGAGTAAACTTGCTCTGTGCAATAACTCACTCTATAATAGATTTTAAATTGCAAAAACTCTTAGACACTTGAGAAATATTATTATTTAAATTTGAATCGCTACAATGCGGATACTACTATAGAAAAACATCGTCAATCGATTAAAGCGATTAGTTAGAGCAATTATCGTTGTTCCAAAAGTTGTTTCAACAACTTGGTAGATCAAATTGGGTACGTCTTTAATTAAACTTAGCGCAGAAATGTAGTAAGTAGTAGTAGTAGTAAGTTTTCATGAATTGTTCCGAGAAAGATGGTCAGAGCTAAAATCAAACCTTTGTATGATGTTGGTATCTAAAATTAACATAAAAATATTTAATAACGTAAACTGAATAGAAACTAGAACCCGTTAATGAATGTGCTGCTATAAAGCATTTATTTGCACAAAGTCATTTATACTTCATGTTTCTACAAGACACGCTTATCACGATTTTCAAACTACAAATACACCACAAACTAGTACTGTACTAGTTTATTATACATAGACGTGTAGGCATCATATCATAGATAAAAGAAACGTATGCTTAGACATTTTTTGTTAAGGTGTCTATTTCAAACTTGCCCAAGCGTCACTCTAATTCAATAGTCAAGACTGATGGTTGTACGATGTAAAAATCAAAATATTTAAGACTATCCAGACTGTGACTTATAAATAACCTATCGTCCAACATTGTATTTTAATCTTATCTAAATATTTAAACACTTGACTAATACTTTTTGAGTGTCTACTGTGTTTATATTTTGATTAATTATTAAGTTGCTCATTTTTAAATTTTCAAAATGCTACTAAACGATTTCGCGAAAGTGATAACTGATAGTTTCAGTTATGACTTTTGCGGCAACGTATACCTAGTAGCATTTTGAAAATTTAATGTACTGCAAATTCACCTCTTACGAGTACGAGTATTACTCTTTGCAAGTTAATTATTTTGACATACATCGCAAAGACAAGAAATAAATTATTTCTTTATCTATCTCTCTATTCATAAAGAGTAAGACCTCTTGTTTGTCTCTTAGGAACTGCCAATCGGATTCGGGTCTCGTCGGCAATAAATTGAACTTATCACCAAATACATTTATGTGAATATTATCTGTACGTGTAATCTTGAGCATCTTTATTCTTTGAATAACAACAGTATTCATGAATAACTTTGAAACAGTGACGTTTGTATAAACGTTTAATGGACGCAAAAAAATCTACTTTCTTGTAACTAGGCGCAGTTGGCCATTTAAATGTTTACTTTCGCCTATAACACTATTTGAAAGCGACTCGTCGTTTGCATAATAATACTTACCTACTTGTTAAGGCAAATAACCACCATACCATAAAATTTTGGTATTGGAATCGCACAAGATGACTGTGATGCGATATCACTAAATGTTACTACTTAAAAATATTTACCCGATATCAAGATAAAGATTTAAGGTTTAATTAAATATCTTGCATTCTTTTATTTTTTCTTTTCTTTTCTTTAAAAAAGACAACTCCCGCACTAGGAATAAATCCTGTGTCGCGGGGGACTTTACAAACATACATGAAACGGACACAAAGTACACCCAGACTCAGAACAACAATTTGTGGATCACACAAAGTGTTATCCCATGTGGGGTTTGAACCCACAACACTCGGCGCAATAGGAAGCGGCGTGGCGACCGCTTAAACCACTACGCCATCCGTGCAGTCCATTAAAAACATAAGGTCATTTAAGACTGTATAACGATACGAGAACATTGCAGTACGGTCAAAAAATGAAATGTGATTCGTGATGACATACTCTGACTAAATCCCAACATGTACTTATACGCCTAATCTAAACCCAAGTCTTAGTATAAAGTTATCAGCGCCAGCGTCATGCACAGTGTAGAAACTGATATTTTTAAGTTTAACAATAATAGGAGGCTACCCGTAATATTTTTTAAGGTTTTGAAAGTTATACCCATAATTATTAATCATCGTCATAAATCGTGGATTATGTCATTTTGATACGCAGTTTATTCGTATATGGTTAATATATTTACGGTTCCCATGATAATGATATGGTAGTGTATTGTAATAATGATGTGGTAAGAAAATTAAAAATTATTGAATTGTACTGTTTAGTTACAGGCACCCGACTGAATTTGATTTTTCCGAAACATCCTCGCTCAAAGGTCACAAGAAAAAAAAGGAAACTGTCTCTGTGCTTGCTATCCTGCTTAAAGCTTTCGGTGTACAGTTCTTCATTGCTATGGTTTTGAAATTCTGTAACGATATACTCGTATTCGCGTCACCACAGTTACTCAGGTAATGACTACTCTGTAGCTTGTTACGTTGTTGTTATGACTCTGCACTGACTCTTTTTCTTGAGGTCTATTCAGTAGGAGGTACAAAGTGAGGAGTAACAGTAATTGTGTGAGCATGGTGCTTATGGGTCTAATAAATTTGTTACTGCCTTATTTAGAATCAGATGACCGTTTTGAAATTAAACAAATCAATACTTATTACTGTTATTAAATGTTCATTTAGCTTTGAAACTCAAAATGATTAGTGAAGGAAAATAACGCCAGGTGCTTTGAGTCGTTTTAATGCTCTCCAAAAAGAAACCCAGAAAAACTATTTATTACATAACACACAGCTCATTATTTAAAAGTGCGTTACTTCCTTCAGTAAGTATAAATTTTATGAAGTGGCAAAGATTCATAAAGCTTGAATCACATGTAAATAATAATAATAGTAAATATAATAATAGTAAATTCTTTATTTAAATAAACGCTTAACTGTTTTCAGATTACTTGTAGGTTTTGTCGGTAGTGATGAACCTGTATGGCAAGGCTACCTTTACGCTGGTACTATGTTATTGTGCGCTACTGTACAGACTATGTTTTTGGGGCAGTATTTCATTAAAATTTCAAAAGTTGGGGTGAAAATTAGCAGTGCATTAAGCAGTATGATATATAAGAAAGCCTTATGCTTGTCTAACGAAGCCAGAAAGACCTCTACAGTGGGAGAGATTATGAACTTGATGTCTACAGACGTAAGCAGGTAAATGATATGAGCATGTCACTTAATTTCTACAATAATGCAAATGATATTTACAGACCTTTTCTGTCATACAACTATTACGTATATAATTTCCAAAGATTTGCTAATACCAAGCTAATACCAGTTGCTAATAATATTAATAAACACCTGGTCAACTTATTTTTATACAGTCACGTGCTATGTGTACTCCATTTAAGCTCTGACTTTGTGTAAAAATGTTGTAGTCGAAATGTTTAGTTTTTAAAAAGTGCTACTAGCATTGGAAGTCATCTGTATTTAATATATGTGTCACTTATAATACATAATACATAGTATAATACATGTCACTTTTTGCCTTGCACAACCAATCTGTGGAACAAGTTATCGGCTGCGGTATTTCCGGACCGATACGAACTTTAAACCTTCAAGAAAAGAGTGTGTTCCTTCCTCAAAGGCTTGTGACTCTTGAGTTGCAGGCGTTATGGACGGCGGTAGTCGCTTTCCATCAGGTGACCCGTCTGCTCGTTTGCCCCCTATTCCATAAAAAGAATAGTTTACAGTTGATATAGCATACCATTCGACTGCCACTCTGAGGATCGCAGCAAATTCCAGTTCAATGCAAATATTAATATGCGTGAATCTTTCTATTTGCATTGAGCTGTGTGTCTATGTATGATATATTTTACAATATATGTACATACAATGCACATACACTACATGTAACATTATATACACTCGTATATAGAGCGAACCCAACATCAAACCTCCTAGTTTTTTGGAGTCACTTAAAACTAATCAAGGTTGACATTTATCATAGTGATACAGATAGTGTATCGGAGTACATTTGCAATTACTAACTACTGTTAATTACTATTTCTATTCACCGGTTAAATAAATAGTTGTACATCACAATTTGTAATACTCAGTGAATCAATTTATTGTTGATAAGATAAGACCGTATGTTTACCATTTGTTGTATGCTTACCACCGATTATTGCATCTAGTATATCTTGTAAAAAGTATATATCTCTATATATTTCTCAATAAGGTAAGGTATAAGGTAACTCTTTATACCGAATCCTTATATACCAAAAAATATTATTTGCTGTTTTTTCCCACAATATTATACATAGAGTATGGGATTTTTTTTAAACAGTTGTCTTCTTCCTACTTCAGATTCAATGACCTGACTCTTATAAATATGTTATGGTCTGGACCATTGCAAGTGGCACTGACCATGTACTTTTTATGGGGAGTACTGGGGCCGTCGGTGCTGGCCGGTCTCGCAGTGATTATTGTGCTTATGCCAATCAATGCATTCTTTGCGGGCGTACAGAAGAAATTTCAGACCAAGCTCATGCGCTACAAGGATGAAAGAATTAAGCTTATGACTGAAATACTTAATGGCATGAAAGTAAGATAACAGATATTAAAATATTTGTAAAATATTTGTAACTGTCTTTTTAAACTGAAACAAAATTTATAACTTGTTGTAGGTTTTAAAAATATATGCATGGGAACCAAGCTTTCAGGAATACATTCTTAAGATAAGGAATAAAGAATTAAAAATTATGAGAACTATGATCTATTATGGTGCCATCTCTGCGTTTGTATGGTTTTGTTCAACAATTACTGTAAGTTATGAAGACCACATATTATGTAACACATGTTTTTAAATTTACATTTACAGTTTCCTACAAAAATAAATAGTTTCTCTTGTTTCCAGGTTTCTTTAATGTCGTTTGCTTGCTATGTTTTGGTAAACGATACAGAAGTTCTCGATGCAAAAAAAACATTTGTAGCGTTGTCTCTGTTTAACGTACTTCGTTGGCCAATGACATTTTTACCTAACGTTATATCTAACGGGATTCAGGTCAGTAATATGTGTTGCACGATATATTACATATGTAGAACGATCGATATGTTATCGCTAGCTCATCAAAGTTATTACCTAAATGTGTATCTCTGTTTTCTTTAACAATTTTATCTTTATAACAGACTTATGTGAGCCTCAAGAGGTTGAATAAATTCTTAAATTCTGAGGAATTGGATGTTCGTATGATCGAGCACAATCCTGATGAACGTAAGTATACTCAAAAACCTATTTATTTTTTGTACAAAATTGAAGAATGCTGCCGTTTGAACGTTTTCGAAACCTATGTAGGTACTTATTTTTTAAGTTTTGCCAGAGCCATAAAGATGGTAAAGTATCTTATATATTTCAAATATTTACATTTACATACCTAAGTATTTTTCTTGGTTTACATTATAATTAAAAATATACATTGGTTCAATTTCAGATTTGAGAATTTCACGAACATATTATGAACTTTTAGTATTTTAAGGTCTATCCTAACACCTTAGGTGAATTCTGTCTTATTGTTACTTTACTGTTCTTGTATACTCATACTATTTAGAACACTATCTAAATTATATTGGTTCTTCCGTGAGATTTAACGATTCAATGCGCTTTCTTATTTCAGCGGATCAGATTGTGGCAGAAAATGGATACTTTTCGTGGAACGGCGTAGACTCAGAGCCGACACTGACAAATCTAAACTTGCAAATTCCACGTGGTTCTCTCGTAGCCGTCGTCGGCGCCGTCGGCACAGGCAAGAGCTCACTCCTCGCTGCACTACTCGGCGAAATGGACAAGGTTTCCGGACGTGTTAATGTCAAAGGTAATCATTTAAATACAACATGCTTCTTTAAAAGACCTTAAAACTTGGCTTTAGTCTCGATTGTCTAAAATTATTAAATGTTTTAAAAGAATACAAATTTGAAGGGTCCTATATATAAATTTTAGATGTTCAAACAACGCTTGCCCTTATTATTGTCGATTTGTCATTTCTACTTTAATAAACGTCAATCAAAAAACAAATCAAAAATACATTCAATAAAAGCTGAATAAAATTAAGTAGGTTTTTATAAAATTTTAGATATGTTATGTACTTTGAATAAAGCCTTTATAGCACATTTCAAGTAGTTAGGAGATCCTTTTAAAAAAAACTGGGTTAGCGCCACTAAATAAAAAAGATATTGATTTATATAAATGCATATACCTACTTAACAAGAAGAAAGTAATATGATTTTTTGTTGTGAAATTAAACAGTGAGACTGCTTTTACTTTTGGTCTGTTCAAGCAATCGTCTTTATATGAGTGAATCGTTCAGAAACTAGACTTTTATAGTTGTTGTTTAAAATTTTATTTTAATTTTACAAAACTTTTTACTTATCTTTAACCAAACTTTTTTACTATTACTGGTCTAAGCAACTAGTTATTTCAAATAGGTCATTGAGATGTATTCTGAAACCTAGTTTAAATTGAGGTCCTTTTTCAAAAATGTTTTAGCTTGTGAACAAGAAATTCAAATGTGATGTTATGGAGGATGTATCTGGGGGTACAGTAGTGCCCCGCCAAGACAAGCTAAGCGAAGCGCAAGAGCACTAAAACATATAAAGTTTCAATAGCTTAACTCTTATACTTTAGACTTTATTGATATCTAATAAACCACGATTTCCTAGAAAATTCTCCTAAAATCCTAGACAGCTAAAATTTGTTATGTAAGCTGGTACACTAACAACAAATAAAAACATATTTCAGGCTTTTCAGTAAATCACCCCCATCCTTCAAATTTGTTAGAGACGAACACTTACGGTTGTCGTACAGGATTCACTTTTCATCGCACGTAACAATTCGATTTAGAACTCCCTCGTTTCTATGGTAATTCAGTAAATCTCGTTGATGACCACTTAGTGTGCCATCCACTTATCTATCTTTTTTTCTTTCTGATTTAACACAAGTGCTTCGATATTGTTTTGACACTAACTCCAAAGCCCGCAGCAAGCTCAGCCATAGATTGATTTGGATTCGCTTCTACTGTCACCTTCAATTTTTCGTTGTCGGCTATAGTTACTGGCCGACCGCGAGGCTCGCTCTTTAACTCAAAATTTCCAAGTCTACGAGTAAAACGATTGAATCAATAATAGACCCGCAATGCAAGCAGTGTTAGAACACACAAAACATTAACGACGTGTACGGGACACGTCGTTAATGTTTTGTGTTGTTTGCGCAGCGGTATTTAAACATAGGAATACAGGTTCGAAATTTCAAAAACAAAACACTATCTAAAAGAAATGACTGAATTTTAAATTAAAGTAACATAGCTATCGAATAAAATTTGTTTGAATTTCAATTGCTTGCCAACCCACACATCATTAAATACTTTACACGCATACTCTAAATGACTTCTAACAAATAAAAGGTGCAGTATAGAAATTCTACGGTTTTTACCTTTTGAAGTCCTTGGTAACTAGCCAAAATGAATACCACATATTCATTTTGGCTAGTTCTTAGAACTTAGTCACATATGTATTACGAAGTACGCCTTATCGTTGACGTACAAAGGTCCTTTTGACATACATACTTATTATCAGTGAAAATGGTTAAGAAGGTTATATTTAACTAAGTGAAAGTAAGGTGAGGAATTCATTGGCATCAAGTGATTTGAAAATATTGGCGAGCTAGTCAATAATTAAGATTTTTGGATCTTTTGCTAACGAATTAGCTTTAAATTGTTAATATGTTCTTTCCTCGTCCAGGTACTACAGCGTACGTTACTCAGCAGGCTTGGATTCAAAACGCCACAGTTCAGGATAACATTTTATTCGGCAAGCAACTTAATAAAACTAAATATAATCAAATACTCAGAGCATGTGCATTAAAGACTGATTTAGCTATCCTCCCTGGAGGTGATCAAACGGAAATTGGCGAGAAAGGTATGGGAGACAGTACAGTAATTTGTAACAAAAATAAATCAAATTATTTTTTTTACAAAAATGTGACATGTGTTGTAGGAATAAATTTGTCGGGTGGTCAGAAACAGCGTGTTTCGCTGGCGCGTGCAGTTTACTTTGACGCTGACAACTACTTCCTGGATGACCCACTCAGCGCCGTTGACTCGCATGTCGGAAAACACCTTTTCGACGAGGTAATTACTTATAGTTTTTTTCAAGTTAACAACCCTCTTTTTTTCTGTGCGGAAATCCCTTCAGATCCCACCCACCGGCGGGGTGGCTTTGATGGACCCGAACCATCTAAATACCGGATGTAGGTCGTCCTCCGGCTCCACCGTCACGATATCTGGCCCGTTCCCGGCCCTGGCGGACCAGGAGCGTTCTAAAACTCTTCCGGTACCACTACAGGAGGGGAGGGCGAAGTCCCACGCGCTCTCATGGCTCGCGAAGTTCATTGCCGCAATCATGGTAGTAAGCGAAAGAATTCCCACTCTGATGGAGGCGACGAGACCCTGCTTCTGCTTCAACCACGCTATTATATTCTGCCTACGCGTGAAGCGCCGTATCCACAGTCCGGCCATCGCAGTGGCACTCAGTGGATCAGACACAGGTTATCTCCGACGAATCGTATTCCGGTGATCACCTGCATCATCTAGTATGAGACCCTTATTAACTCTCGAGCCAATCCTTCATCAAGTGAACACCCCTGTATTTTTTTAAACGGGTGTAGGTGATGAACAGTATAGTTAAAATTGTAATTATAACAGATTAAAATCAGTCTCGATTATCGTATCACTTCTTATGTTTAAACAATTGTCATGATGTATGTGCAGGTAATAGGGCCGAATGGTGTACTTAAAAACAAAACAAGAGTGTGGGTGACACACAACGTATCGTACTTGGCGCAGACGGATCTGGTTTTGGTATTGCAAGACGGTCAGGTGCGAGAGGCTGGCAAGTACCAAGAGTTACTTCAACAAAAGGGTGCTTTTGCTGATTTCTTGCTGCATCATCTGAACAATGCTACACAAACTGCCGAAGGTGGGTTACGCAAACTAAATTGAAAGTTGAAGGAAAACAAGTATGCCTGTAAAACATATTTTACTGTGGTAACTGGTTATTCTTAGAAACTCTCTAAAGTTGCTTAAATTAAAATGATGCAATTGAGTTAGACGAAGAGAGAATGAAAACTTGACACAAACCGGCCGGTTTACTATACTACGCTGGCCAGACGGGTTGGTCTATACCAACCCGTCTGGCCAGCGTAGTATAGTAAACCTCCTTTCTAAGGAGAGGCTTATGTCCAGCAGTGGACTGTTAAAGGCTGTTGATGTGATGTGATGTGATTGGGTTAAGGCATGTTTTAGGAGTCGCATGCTTGTAATTTCTGTCCCAGGGCTCCTATATAGTTAACGGTTTTCGATAGTCGATGGAGCATGCGAGCGTGATGCTGAATACACTATTATTGACACTTTTGGTACTAAAATAGTGGTAATAGTAGTGTAGTAGTAATATTTTTTGTTATTACATTTGGAATTAAACATTGAGCGAAGCCTATGATTTGATGTAGGAGTAGTTTAGGATGAAATCTTTTAACCAGAGTGGGTAGTCAAAAGTAAAAATTAGATTATGTTAATGCTTAATTACACCATTATTCGTCAGTAACAAAGTGCACAGTGCAACTCCTTCAATGACATTAAGGTCATCATAAAATTATTATATCATATACTGCTTTGCGGCAGATTGCCGTCATAGAGGGTCGTTGAGAGTCGTTGAGTCATAGAGGGTTAAATCTTTTGATGTGCCCGTAGGGGCACTCAACTCTGGAACTCGATATGAATGTTGTAAATAGTTAATCTATTTTATATTTCTTTTAGATGATGACGTCGGGAAGGATCAACATGATTTGTCATCTGGTGCAACTCTAGGTAATAAAGCTATTTAATGTATACTATTCCTAATTTAAAACTAAAATTTCAATATTTTTTTCCTGATTTAAAGTCCTCTTTAGTAAATGTTGAAAAATTGAAGGTAATGTAGAAAATGCAATCTTTATGAAATATGCGCAACATATTATTGCTTATTTTAGAAGTTATCCTCGTTGAGCAGATTACACGTTACTAGTGTATGGGGGAACAGCTTTTAGGCCCCTTCAGCACAAAGTATTATATCTCAATACGTATGTACTCGGCGTGAGAACTTTTATTGCGCGATGCAAGATCAATAGTTACCAAGTAGTTAACCTCGTGTTCGTATGATGATATAGAAGTGTGTTTTTGTTATATGATGATTATGGACACACTAGTATTTTTGTAGACAAGTCCAGCTAAGCTAACAGCCGTGTTAGGAGTGGGTTCACGTTGGTAGTGGGGTTAGGCATGCTTGATCGCACATACGACATCCTTTTCAGTTTAAAATTTCGTAATGGCAAGAAAGCACTCTAATATCATTTAATAATCTTAAAACCATTATGTTATCAGGTAATCATGACATAAAATCAAGCAAAGAAGAATTAGACGCAAATGAGGACGATAAAGAATACGACGAACTTATCAAAGCAGAACGAGCAGAAACCGGAACAGTTAGTATACATTGCAAATAAATACAACTACCTAAATTAACCTAACGAATTCAATAAGTTTGTAGGTTCACTACCATTTTGTGAACCTACAAACTTATTGAAGGCGGTCTCCGTTTAGCATACCGATGATATTCACTGCGCAAGCATGCGTAGCTTATTTACGAGTATTGTATAGCAAAAGTTTCACTAGCATTGCATTCGATTACACCGATCGGTTTAGAAAATTGAAACAATAAGTGTCGAGAATTATATTATCTTTTACCTAAAGATTCAGCAATTATTTTAAGAGATATTGTATTTTAGTTACATAACCCCCCTATAGATCCTTACATTCATTAGTAAAAATGCCTAAACTATTCAATTATGCCCATAGTGTATATAAACATTTAAATAATCATTTTTTATTGACTGACTCCTCCACGAACTGTAGATTTTTTTCGCATTTAGTTGTTTTTCCTAATTTCTTGTTACAGATTTAGTTTATTTGTTTTATAAGTTCTTTTTATATGTAGGTAAAATGGGCAGTTTACAAACATTACTTTTTGAATGTCGGTGTTATGGCATCAGTGATAAGTATCATGACGTACGGGTTGGTGCACTGTCTACAAATCATTGCCAACTTCTGGCTCGTCCGCTGGACCAATGACAAAAATATGGTGAGTTTGTAACTTTTTGGACAATGTTTTAAAACAAATTCGTAAGGCAAAACTCTCATATCTTCTCCTATGAATAGGCAGAGGCCACAATCTGCCATTACGAGTATATTATATCCTTTCATACATTTCTAATTTTAAATTTTTCATATAAAATCACCCAGTTCAAATACTTTTGATTTAAACTTTCTTTAGAACATCGCTAATATCTTTCGAATTATTCCCTACCGGTACCCAAATATACATTTGTTCCCAACCTATTCTTGCCAAAACCGCTCCAACATAGTCATTATAAATTTTCACACTAAGACCCCTTTCAAACCACACTACTTCCAAATATCTATTTGGCCTTTACTTGCCATTGATCTCTTCTCAACAACATTTAGTCTGGTTTTACATTTTTCTGGTATACCCAGGTTTTTCTACCATACCTTACAGTATGCGCCAGCATGCTATTATAAACATAAGGCATGAAGTGTATTATTCTCATGATTACCGACATTTGCTTTTCATCTTCCATTCTTCGATAGCAGATTATCTAAATGAACAAAGTCTGACACATGTTCTACACCGTCATTTTGAGATTCCAATCATATCTTCATTTTTTTATAAATGTCATCCACAAGTATATCATACCTTTTCACAATTTTCTCAACAAGGTAGGATTTGATTGTCAATATAGAAGGATAAACTTTACGCCCTTCCTTACCGGCATTGAATAACTATTAATTTTGTAAAACAACCAAGGAAGTGCCCTATCCTAGTCACTTCGTCTGAGATATCGAATTAATCTATGTAGGGACCAGTCATTCGAACACAGGGTATGGGGTCTTTGTATTAGAACTTCAGAGCCTGTATCAATCACTGCTTCAATGTGCCATTCCATACGCGAATAATCGCTACCTTAACCCATTTCTGTTCATATAATTCTATGTCTAAATTATTTTGTATCTTGCCAGTCTTCTACCCGAATGTATATTTTTTAGCTCGTGAACGGTACGGTTGACAAGAGTTTACGAGACTATTATCTCGGAGTGTATGGTGGCATCGGCTTGACTCACGGTATGATATTTTTTTCTACTTAAATATATTAGTACTAATACTCGTGAAACCTTAAACAATATAAAAAGATCTCAAATTACATGACTGATTTTCTTTAATGCTTACTTTAAAATCGTATATTCAATCTAAAATAATTTATCTTTTACTGAGTAAAAACCTCCTTTCTAACGAGAGGTCTATGTACAGCAGTGGGCTATAAAACGCTGTTGATGTGAGGTGAAGTAAGTACACCCTTGTGTAAACTGGTGGTGGTCAGGGAATACTGATAGTGTTCATGGCTTCCCACTGCTGAATATAGTCCTCCTTGTTTAAAACATACATTCTAATAAGACACAATTGAATTAAGTGAATTGTGTTTCACACCATAAAATTCAGTAAGTTTAAAAATATTTTTTGTCATCTTCTTGGAGTTACAAAAATATATTTTGAAGGTTATATGGATTTACAACACGTAAAAGCAAAGTTGAAAGATCGAGTACTAAAGTTGAACAGGATATCGCGATTTCGACTCCGAAAGCTTACGCAAAAAAAAGTTTGAGATAATACCTTATTCTCTTTTTATGTATGATGATGATTTTGCAAAGGGTCTTGCCTGACGGAAAGGAAATTATCTATTCTTACTACCAAAATCATGTTTTTAGAAGCGGGCTAACATCCACTGTATATAGTACGCGCAAGAAGCTAAGCTATTTGGGTAAATAATAACCCACAGGATGTCTGTGTAAATCGTTTGGCAGTACGAATGGTAAATCTATATATTTATATATCATCTTGATTATTTGTCTGTAAAGACAACTATCTTCAGAACTTTTTTGTCATAGCTCGTCCAGCATCTTCATTTTATTCTACACACTTGCACGATCTTGGTATGCATTATCTTAGACACAAAATTAGGCTTCATTAATTGGCAAATCAAACCACTTCCTTTACCTTAACATTACTATTAATATTTAAAGAAGTTATTTAAATAAGTTAGCCAATTATAATACATAAATAATAAAAATAATACATAAAAGTAAATCGCGTACCTTTTATATACAAAAAAAAAATCCAAGAGACGGCAAAACAACTTTACAACAGCGAAACCACGGGCAAAAGCCCACATTATAATAACTCCAATAATAGCAATTGTAACAATCAATTATAAAAAATTGTGTTGTCATTTTCAGCGAGGGACGGGGTAAGCACACAAAGTACAACGTTAACACTAATGCATTTTTAAATCGCGTAGTTATGCACGCACACAATGTAATAATTAAACACTATTTTGAATTATACGCACACAACAGTTACACTTCAATAACGTAAACAGTCTAAACTTCGACTCTGACGTATTAAGTATCGACTTAGTATCGACGTTTAGGATTTCATATACGCAAAGATATTTTTATTCAAGCTTTAAAAAAATATACTTTCTTATTGCACAATATATAGATGAGTCATTTACCTAATAATTTTATTAGGTAAAAGTAAAGGGGAAATAACACATTTCTACGAGAAGCTTGGCTCAGTGGAAAAACTTAAGCTTCTGCTAAATAATATTTACAACGTTGACTCTCAAACACTGGCAACGTCTAAATCGGCTTTAATTACGTTATTATCAATTGTAAGGCTGTAATTATTACATTTGTTCTTTGCTTTTCCTCTTTCTGTATTAATTATTTTCATGGTCATTCTAATTTTATTTGAACTATTACTAATTTTAGATCTTAAGTAATTAACCTTTGCAGAATGGCAATTTTGTTTAAACAAATTGGAATATTGTTTAACATACTCGCGAAACTCCATACTAGTGTTATAATTTCTTTCTTCATAAAGCTCATAAAGCCATGTTCTACTTTCATATACCTACCGTGGCCCATTCATTGAAGGGTCCTCCTCACTCCTAAGAAGTTTGAAAGTTGATTCAAATTCTGAACAATACATCTTAAAAAAAGCGTTATACAATTGATAAGGATCATCCCAAATAAGGTAGTTTACTAAGCAGTTTATTTTTGAAATTTGCCATACCAGTTGCAGTTTTAGGTACCACAGTAATATCTCAGGTTACTACCATTTTGTTGTTCATAGCAAAAGCACACATCTGTCCACAGAGATCAGAATGTAGTTTGTTTATTATTGCTTTGGTGTGTGTGTGTGGCTATATGTGTGTATGTAGCAATGATCCTAGTAGGCTCCAAAAAGATGTTATCCAGATTGTATGATCCAAATAGGTTTTGAAATCTTAAGCTCAATGATGTATCTTCTTATATGTACTAGACATTCCTTCCTCCTGTTATATCAATAAAATAAGATAGCGATATTGCTAACTGTCGTTTACAAAACAATGAAAGATAACACCTATCTTTCACATCATTATCTTTTACATCTTCTAAATATGCTTATATTTTAAAACTAAAGACCTGGCATCATTGAGTTTAAAATAACTTTCAAATATGCTGAGTTAAGATCAGCCCATATGTAAATGACAACGCTTCACTTGAAAGCTTTGAAAATTACTTCGCTTTTAAAAGTAATACTTAGGGCATACTAAAAGTTTCTGGATTCTGATAAATAAGACTAGATATAAGACTTACGATACCTTTATTGTTTTTCTAAGTATATTCACCACTGAAACCACTGTACAAAACAGTTGGACCAGTCTTCTTGGACCTCATCAATGGCTTTATGGAACGCATTCACCGCCGATTCAGGGCTTATAAAACGTTTGCCTCTAAGTTTGTCTATAATTTTTGGAACAAAAAGAAGTCACAGGGTGAGAGGTCCAGGCTGTAATGTGGATGTGTCATCAGTTCCACATTTGAAGCCTTCAAATAGGCTTCTGTTACCTGAGTGTAGTGTAGTGAATGTGAGGATGCGTTATCGTGGTGAAGGAGGACATTGCTTCGAGGACTCTGGGCAAACAAGTGTTGACGTACCAATCTGCAGTCACTGTCCTTCGATCTTCAAGCGATGCTGTAGTGTAATATCCTGATTTGTCGAAATAAGTAGCAACCCGTTTTTTACCAATGCTTCGACTTTAGTCAACAAATCTTCAAAAGGAAAGACCCACTTTGGCTTTTTCTTTTGGATTCAAAGCAGTACACCCAAGTTTATAATAATAATATTAATACATTTATTTGTCAGAATATGAGTTGTTAGTAGTTACATTTTAGATGCTAGTGATATTCTACCATTGTCTGGTGAACAAAATATTAGTAGAGTGAATTTATGTATTTATTTTTTTATCTAGGTATAACATTATCATGCATTATTACTATGTCACAATTTCTTATCGTCAAAAAATTCTTCGATACTGTAGAAACATTTGTCTAAGAGCAACGCAAATAATTTTCTTTTAAAATCATTAATAGTATCTTAACTAAATCTATTTGTTACTTGTTATACGAGTATACGTGTATAGCCATACAATATACATTCTTACTTTACATATTTACTCTTTGTCTGGGTACTAAGAGTTTATGTGTATTTCTGCTTGACCTTTTTTTGTTTTTTTCTTTTTTTTTTCCGTGCGGCAATCCCCTCGAATACCACCTGTCGGTGGCATGTCGGACTCGAACCGACTAAAACCGCACGCCGTCGCCGGGTACTAATAGCCGGGGAACCAGGTATACCCTAGAAAGGAAGTCCCTGGTGCCCCGACATACCTCGGGTCATCTACAGACGAGTAGACGACCCCCCCGTGTGGGAACCCCATGTTCCCTGTGCTCCCTGGAAGCGAGCGCGCTTCGCAACGCGCTCGCCGCCACCCCGGCCTGCTTCTGCTAGGGTGACAGATGGCCTCACCTGTCACCCCCAGGCCTGCGCTTATGGAGGACGGAGGTCGTTCTGCGTCTTCCGTGCCCGGGCCTGGCGGGCCGGGAGAGTTCTAAACCTCTCCCGGTCCCGCTCCGCACGATAGCCGCAATCAGGCTATCGAGCGAGAGAACTCCCACTCCGATGGCCGCCACGAGGTCTCGCCTCTGCTCAACCCACGCCGGGCACTCTGCCAGCGTGTGGAGAGCCGTGTCCACGGTCTGGCCATCGCAGTGGTGGCACTCAGGCGTTGGCTCCTTGCGGATCAGACACAGGTGATCTCCGAAACATCCCTTCCCAGTGATCACCTGCGTCAATCGGTATGAGAGGGTCCCGTGACGCCTCTCGAGCCAATCCTCCATAACGGGTCTTACCGCCGCAATGACGGCGTGCCCGTATTTCTGCTTGACCTGGCGACATTGTCGTTATGTTTACAAAATTGCCGTTGATGTTTGTGCACAAAAACACAGATTTCGTAAATATACAGACTAGGCAGTGGTTGTATGTTATATTTCTTAAAATGCTCTTTGAAACTATTTGTTTGCTGTTAGCTAGATAGTGCTCGCATACATTTTTTTGGTACAAGAAATGCCCTATTTGCCTCAACTGATTTCGTCACCTTTACGATATTTAAGACAGCCAATGCCTGTCCTCCCTTAAACTATTGTATAATTTTACGGCACCACTTTACACGTAGTCGTTTCTGGTCCTCCGTTAAGTCATGCGGTATCCATCGAGTGCAAAGCTTCCGAATCTTCAGGTGCACATGTAAAATGTTTTGCACTTGGCTTATTCCAATGCTTTCAAGTCATTTTTTTCAATCAAGTCGTTTCAATAAGTCGTCGTACGGTGTTAATATTAGAGAATGTAACCGCAGTGGCCGCCGACCTTCTACATCTAAATTCTCCAAACCACGAATACACAGAGCTGCGACATGGTGCTTCACCACCAAATTACAATTGAAGTCTCTGGCAACTCTCTTGTTGACTTAAGCTATAACGAAAATCATCAAAAATCATTGAACGAAAATGTTCACGAGTTAAATTCATTTTGATAGCGACACACAATTTTCGAAGGCCATCAGGCCACCAATGATAGTCTCGCAAATTAAAAAGTAACCCAAAGAGTTTCATTTTCAAATTCCTTAATTGTTTTTTTCATTCTTTTATTGTAAGTAACCAAATCCAGAGACTTTCAGTTCACGTAAACAAATTCAAAATAATTATTATTGTATTGAAATTTCAATATCAAAACCCTTTTCAAGTTGAACTGTGACCACCTTCTTAAGAAAAAAAATCGTTGATTTACATAATAATAAACTAATAAACGACAAAAATAAATATTCATTTTCCAAATAAAGTATGTACACTAATCTTATATTATTTCATGATCTCATTTAACTTCTTTGTCATTGGAAGTAATTAAAAATATATGAATGTGTTGCTATCAATAAATAACAAGGCGAATTGTAAAAAAGGTTTTAATTTGAATCATAAACACACTCAACTTTCAAGTTGAGTGTGTTTATGATTCTAATAATATTGTACTAATAATGTTGATTATGATAATATAATTATATACCTACCCTAAGAAAGCACCTAAAAGTCAGATAAACGCAGATTTCTATCTATTATTTTTGTTTAAACGTTTTCATGATAGTAGCAGTTTTTTTGTATTGTAAGTATATAAATATGACTGAGGCTCACACACTTTACTAAAATTGAAATCAAATGTAAATTTTTATTAACTGCTAAAAATAAACTTACACTTAACTTAAGAAGTACCCAAGCATTATCTTAACTGTGCTGTAACAACCTTTAATTTCTTATGCAATATCTTATTCTAAAGCTTTTACTATTATTCATTTTACCTAACTCCTTTTAACTATCTTTATTATATTTTTACAGTGATCATATCAATCGTGGTGGATCTATTACCATTCTTAGCATGCTGGAGGGCCGCAAAAATTCTCCACGAAACATTGTTGAAAAATTTATTAAGAGCTCCATTGCATTTCTTCGAAGTAACTCCAGCTGGTAGGATTATCTCGAGATTTTCTAAGGACGTGGATGCAGTAGATACTGCTATTCCTTGGCAACTCTCCGGTGTTATCAGCTGTACCTTCGAGGTAAATAATTATCACAATAAGTACTATTTTTATACTCAATATATGTTTGTGCTCTAGAAATTTGTGTCTCCCTGAAACGGGTTATGACAAACAAAACAGTACTTTTGGCCTCATTGTCAATTTTTTATTTAAAAACTTATTGTGGTATCTTAAAAATTCTATACTATGCGGAAACATGTATATTTTTTATATTTTTAATAGTTTACTAGCGACCGAAATTACTAGTATTTCCGTTAACCCCTCCCGTTAGACTAAATTGCTTGTGTTAGGAGTGGGTCCACGTCGGTAGTGTACTGGTCAGGATTTGAACCCACGACCTCTTGATCGCAAGTCCAACGCCTTAAATACTAGGCAATATTTTGCATGTTAGAAGAATAATTGTATAGAAGAAGTGATACCAGAAAATTATACAAGAATTATTTAATCATTGCCACCTGTTGTTGAAGTTTGTGCCTCAGTTGAAGCTTGTGTCATTGGCTGGACAAACTAAGGGGTATAAGGAATGTATATAGTTACAACTCGTCTGGACAAGAAAAAGTCTGACTTAAACGTATAAACTTGTATGTAGATAGTTCATATACATATTTAATTTTGGGAATCGTTTTATAAAGTTTGTGATGAGTATGATATAAAAGACGATCCCACCAAAAACAAGTAAAACGTTACCAAGACAAGACTATAATGGCTCGCACTGTCAAAAAGTAGTTAAGTAGTTAGTAAGTTAGTAGTTTAGTGTGAAGTTAGTTAGTAAAAGTAAGTTAGTTGTTAGTACATACGCTAAGAATTTTGATGATCATCTGTTAGTCAATCCCGAAATCGGAGATTTTTAGATATCTGTCTAAATCTAAACTATAAGAGCTATGCTATTGAAACTTTATTAGTTCAAAAAAGCTTCTGTTGACATCAAATCCTGAGAAATTGGTTTATCTGGTAAAATCCAAAACGAAGTTATGCGGGTTCAAAAAAACGACGAAGCGCTTTTAGAAAAGGTAGATAGTGCCTATCTACCTCTTGGCGGTGTCATTACCGTGCCCCAGATCTTAGCTTTGCCTTTCTAAAACTACTTCTGTATCTGTAATCTTCTGTTCCTGTAATCAATATATACATATATATTTTGTAAATATGCATAAATATATATTTGGACAGAGTGGCTGTTTAAAATGAGAATGAGAGAAATGTGTTTGTAAATTTACTTTGTATTTGTTTTGTTACATTATACTAAAATGAATACGATAAATAAATAAGGTTACATTCACTACTAGAAGGTTTTGTCTATTGAGAAGTTGAACTACCATTCGCCCTTTGTTAATTTACATAGGTACTTTGTTTGTATGAAATATGTAAATATGTCAAGCAGTAAAGTCAATTATTTTTTTATGTTATTCTAGGTTTTGGGGACAATATTCGTAATCAGTTACTCGACGCCCATATTTTTGACTGTAGTAGTGCCTATTGCAGTAATATACTTAGCCATACAGAGGTTCTACGTGCCGACATCTCGACAGCTCATGAGGATTATGTCTGTGGCTCGCTCACCGATCTTTTCACATTTTAATGAAAGCATTTTAGGTGCTTCTAGTATTCGTGCTTTTGGAGTTAAGGAAAGGTGAGATTAAGGTATATTTATATATCTTAAATGTAAGAAGTAGGATCATCAATCAAAATGCTAATGACATATTCAAAGATATTTTTTGTCAGTTCTTACCTCAGATGCCTTAACTGTCTTTTCTTTGAAGATCTCTTCATCAACTTTTAAATTTGAGAGTATGTGTACAATATAACTGTTATTCTTAAAAACAAACCTCTATTTTGTCTAAAATATATATATGGAAAAATAAAGTTAAATATGTAAATTAAGACTTTCATGTATGAGTGAACTCTGTTTTCAAGTTTTTTAGTTAATTGTTTTCCGATGGAAACATCTTTAACTTGAAAATGTCTAAAAAAATATTTTATATGTTTAATATAAGATAATAAGATATTTTAATACATTCTATGGATGTAATGATGACGGGCCTGTTGGTCTAGTGGCTAGTGACCCTGACTGCTAAGCCGGAGAGTAATCCCGGTATTTAGTTCGGTTTATTTTTACACTTCATAATTTAAAGATTAGAATGTGCCTCTGCCTAATCTTTATTTTGTTTCAGATTTGTGAAAGAATCTCAAGAAAGGGTTGATAATTACCAAGCGATCTCCTACCTGAGGTCCGTTGCAGATAGATGGCTCGGAGTTCGACTTCAAGTAGTCGGCAGTCTAATCATATTCTTCGCTGCATTATTTGCAGTCATTGGTCGAGATACTATCAGTCCAGGTCTTGCAGGTCTTTCGGTTAGCTACACGTTAGAGGTATTATCTTGGGCTTAGATCTTAAGACAAGTTTAGTCCCAAAATAATTTTTGGTTATACTAATTTTTTTACATTACAGATCACGCAGATTCTATTTTATTTAGTCCTAGGCATATCTATAATTGAAACTGATATTGTAGCAGTGGAACGCATGAAAGAGTATGCTGAAACAGAACAAGTAAGTCAATGCTATATTATGAAGGTCGTGATAAGATAAGCACTTTGTTTATAGCACCTGATTACTGAAACATGATATTCTCAGGAAGCAGACTGGGTAGTACCCAATGGTCCTCGCTCTTCGTGGCCGGAAACGGGCTCAGTACAGTTCGAAGGTCTAACTATGGCATACCGAAGGGGAGCAGAACCCGCTCTGCGTGATGTCACGTGTAATGTGGAACCAGGGGATAAGATCGGAATCGTTGGACGCACCGGTGCGGGCAAGTCCACGCTTACACTCGCACTTTTCAGGTTAGTATGCGTACTACGTAGTACTTTCTCTTCACCTGCCTGTGCAACTTTGTGTTAACACATGTTATGTCTATCGTACAGGATTGTAGAAGCAGTGGCAGGCCGCATTCTTATCGATGGATTAGACATCGCTAAGATAGGTCTACATCAACTGCGTTCACGTATAACCATCATACCTCAAGACCCGGTGCTGTTTGCAGGAACACTGCGTATGAATTTAGATCCATTTTCAACGCATTCGGACAGTGAAATTTGGCATGCGCTTGAGCTCGCACATCTGAAGCCGTTTGTGCTCGGTGAGTAACGACTACATGGGTATGTGATAGATGAAATAGTATAGCTTCTTAGATGAATGAGAAGGTTTTGTTTAACGGGTTCCCTCAATAAGACTAGGAGGAAAGTGGGTTTACTGTATTTCCAACTCCTCCAATTTTCTTCTGATTAATTTCGTTGCGGGTTCCAAGACAGTTTAATTTCTTCCTGGGACTTCGTGTCATAACTCGGTGTGTTCGTGGGTCACTGCTGTGGATCCTGGTGTACAGGAGTTACAGTGGTGGGCGTGTGGGTGGGATTAGTCCCATAAAAAAAATAAGACTAGGACCTTTTCGTTTTAAGGGCCCAGTTAAAATCCGATATTTTGTGGCTTGATTGACAATCCCTTTTTCTGACCAGTACTGAACGTTGTCTCTGTATAGGCAAAGTCTATATGAGTTGCGCTACTAATGTCCTCTGACTGTAGTGGCGGTCAGGATCTTACGTGATGATCTTAACCGGTCTTAACCGAAGCTGAGCGTTGGTTGGTACTTTCCCGTAGGGTTTAGATGTAAAAGTGTATGCAGATGTAAAAGTCGATTATAGTAATGTTGTCCGTGTCCCATTGATAAACGGTGTATGTGTTTGCAGGACTGCCATCAGGGTTGCGACATGTGATATTAGAGAGTGGCGAGAACTTGTCGGTGGGACAGCGGCAACTTATTTGCCTGGCGCGGGCCCTTCTGCGTAAGACCTCATTGCTCGTGTTAGACGAGGCCACCGCAGCTGTTGACCTGGAAACGGATGACTTGATCCAGGTAAGAGCGTGTTTATTTAATATTGAATGTCATACCAAGATTACTCAAGTACGCAGTTTTCACAATATCTCGCATGTTATAGAAAACCATCCGCACCGAGTTTGCATCGTGTACTGTTATCACCATCGCTCATCGGCTCAACACCATCCTGGATTCCACAAAGGTTATGGTGCTAGATAAAGGCCGTCTCATGGAATACGCACCTCCGGGTGAGCTACTCCAAGACAAGAATTCTATGTTTTACAGTCTAGCCAAAGACGTCGACCTGGTTAGTTAAGTCTTATCTGTGTAAATCAAGAATTATTAATTATAGCAGTTAAGTTTAAATAGTGTACAAATAAGCTTTATATAAGATATACCACATTTTTAAGTATTTTAGTTCTAATAAAAATGTTGTTGTTTCATTTTAATATCATTTGTCTGCCTGGGCAAATTTCTTTCTCTTTTTGAATTCTCGGCAATGAAAGGTTCGTGTATTCCTGAGGGGTAAACTAATGAACAAATATTGATATACAAACAAAAATTACAGCATCCCAAGATTCTTATCTTATGCTGATTTTATTAAATTTCACCAAACACAAATTTCATCGTTCTACTTGCAGAATTAAAAGTACGCTTTGACAGTGTCTTGACAAATAAATTTTGCATTTTTATACAACTCGTTTTAGTTGCCAAATTTATTTTCGTCGTTAACAAAGTTCTTCACGTGGTAAACCCGTGGGTGAACAATGCTTCCATACAAATAGACCGACAAATAGACAACTGGCATGATACCACAGCCTAAAGAAAACCAGTGCTAAGCAACTCTTTCCTTGTTTTTCACCGAGTGAGTGAGGTAAAGGGATGCCAAACCCGGGAGGGCAATGTACTTATGACTCTAGCTGCAGATGTCTAAGGGCAGCGGTAATCAGTTATCATTAGGTGACCCGTCTGCTGGTTTGCCCTCCTATGCCATAAAAAAAACAGTTCATGTCTCGTCATTCTTATACAATGACTTTTAAAAGAAGTGCCAAACCATTTTATTATTTACAGTTGGTAGGGTAGACCGTTTCTCGGGCACGCCGTCATCGCGGCGGTAAGGCCCGTTATGGAGGATTGGCTCGAGAGGCGTCACGGGACCCTCTCATACCGACTGACGCAGGTGATCACTGGGAAAGGATGTTCGGGGTGGCAGAGTGCCCGGCGTGGGTTGAGCAGAGGCAAGACCTAGTGGCGGCCATCGGAGTGGGAGTTCTCTCGCTCGATAGCCTGATTGCGGCTATCATGCGGAGCGAGAGTGCGTGGAACTCTGCCGTCTCCTTCCGCGAGCAAGTTATGCTCGCGAAGGAGACGGCGGAGCGGGACCGGGAACGGGCCAGGTACCGCAGGCGACTCAGGCGCCGGAGTACGCAGAACGATCTCCGTCCTCCATAAGCGCAGGCCTGGGGGTGACAGGTGAGGCCATCTGTCACCCTAGCAGAAAGCAGAGGGAACATGGGGTTCCCACACGGGGGGGTCGTCTACTTGTTGTAGATGGCCCGAGGTATGTCGGGGCACCAGGGACTTCCTTTCTAGGGTATACCTGGTTCCCCGGCTATTAGTACACCCGAGACGGCGTGCGGTTTTAGTCGGTTCGAGTCCGACATGCCGCCGATAGGTGGTATCCGAGGGGATAGTAGCACGAAAAAAAAAAAAAAAGGGTAGACCGTTGCTGGTATATGGGATGCCGTTATTTTTTTTACAGAAGACTGAAACGGATGGAAACCGCAATGCAGATGTGTTAACTGTTAGTTGATAAGAGTAAACTGATAGTTAAAATTCTTTGTTTCAAAGATTTCAAAACACGCGCATAAGCGGTACGTATGTGATTCCACACATCACTACCGCATATGCGCTTGTTTTAACCACAGGCTGGTACAAAATAAGTAAAGTAACTAAAACATGACTACATATAAAGTGCATACATAAAAATAATGAAACAAGTAAATAGTTTCTTTCTAAAATGCATCTATCCATTTCAAACTTTGTCCACACGTGCTTTATGAATAGTAGAAAAATTATGAATGAATTTAGTAATTCCTACATCTGGAAATATGATTTCTATGATGATTTCATTTATTACTTCTAATTTTTAACTACGTTGTACATTATTAATATTATTAACATCATTGATGCAGGAGGTCTAATTGATTGCGTGTATTTCGATATCTGAAAAGCATTCGACATAATGAATAATGATGTGCTATTATCGAAGATGACACCGGTGGTGAGCGCAGGCAGTACGTTGAGTATGCTGGTTATGAATCAAGTCTATTTTACTATTTCAGGGATAAGTCAAGGGTCAAATCTAGGACCATTAGAATTCATACTCATGATCAACAATCTGCCGGGGGTCTTACGGCATGCCGAGTGTCTGCTCTTTGCAGATGACTTTAAGGTGTATCTGTCGCTAGCAGACGCATCGGAAGACAAGCGACTGCAGTAAGACATAAACCGGGAACTGCAGTAGAGCAATACCAATAAGCCGTACTTTAACTGAGTTAAATGCGGAGAAACGAGTTGCAGCTGTGTTAGGGCTCTACTGCGCTATACATATGATGTGGGTGGGGCGTCGATTCCGTGCTTTAACAGCATCTGAGATTTAGAAGTCGAAATGGTGCCTGAGTTGGCGTTTCGTAATCTAATCGTCACTAAATGCAGTAAATCATTTAGAAATTTAGTATTCATTTTGAGAAACTAAATATTTTAATAATAAGTCATTGGTGAAGATATTATACAATGCTCTCAAAATCACTCTTTCTATATGACAAAGACTACGGAGTGTACCCGCTAATGTACCTCAGCTTATTCGTCCTCGACTTGGTAGTGTACACGGAACAGAAAATAAGCTTTTGTTCTCTGTTCTGTGGTCGAGTACGCGCGCCTGAGCGTGCGACGTGCTGGTCACCATACCATGCGTATGGCGCGTGCTACGCGTTCAGCTGCACGAGACCGACGCGTTAGGGGGCGTCCATTAATTACGTAAGGCGTTCAGAGGGGGGGATTGGGTCGAGCCGAATTTCATCTAATCATTCTTTGGGGAAAGGGGGATCTCGGCAAATATCACGTAATTCTTTATCCGCAAGAAACAGAGTAAAATTGAAAGAACCCTCCCCCCCCCCCCCCCTTAGTGCGTTTGCGGCCGTTTCGCCGTCAGCCCCTACGCTTAGCGTTCCCGTAGCGCTCACAAATTTGATTCAATACGCCCCTTTACCAACGCGCCTTAAGGCTTATTCATGTTGTTTCAATACATGTGGATATTTATAAGTGTAACCTCCCGAAATTTAAAGAAGTTGAACAAAGGTGTATTACTGCAAATGATTTTTTGTTATAAAATAATTGTAACTTACCATTTTTACTTGGTTTTGGAATAAGGATCCTGTAAATGTTTTAAATAAATATTTTTTATTTTTCGAAAATGTTTTTTTTTAAACTATAGAAACTGAAATCGAATAGAAATCGAATCGAAATCGAATCTTGCTGCAAACGTTTTACAAAAAAGAAGTATATTATATGAACTAAGTTATTGGCATCAAATTATGTTCAGCTATATGTGTATAACGGTCATTCTAAATCCAGCGATCGACCAATTTAAAACTTCAGTCAAACAGGAACTTTGTAGCAAGGCATATTGCTGGAACTTTGTAGCAACTATTGTAGAATCTATTGTAAATGAAGGATTTATTTTGATAAAACTCTGGTAGTTTTAAATATTTCATAAGACTTCGGTCGGAGTCGTGCTGTAGGTCAGCACAACTCCGACCGGTAGATATAGTTCAGTTTCGTTCAGTATCCAGTAGTCTTACTAAATGGTCCCTCTGTACACAACTGAATGCCAGTTACCACTATATCGGTACAGCCATAGAGTACATTTCTACGTTGTTACTTCAAATTAATTGCTTCGCTCGCGTCAATGAAGGTTTTAATAACCCAAATGACTATCTTAAAAGTTACTATCCATCTCGGAGAGTACTTGTTTTTAGATGAAAACTGCTTTGTCCTTTTCTGTAACCTTCCAAAAATATTGGCAAAATTTAATGATGATCGATTGAGTACTTAAGGTTTGACAGGGTATCAAACAAAGGCGTAGCCACGGTGGAGCTGGGTGGAACGCTTGCCCCGCCTTGGAAGCCAAAATGGGTAATAAAGTATTATTATATTTACAAGATTACAGCATCTAAACGAAAGGTACAAAAACAGAGAGAACGTTTAGTTCTCAGGAACCATTGAGCACACCCCGCGCACCTCGTTTTACCTCTTTTCCAATTAAATTTTAATCATACTAGACACAATATAACTGCTTAGTTCGAACAGTCAGTTGTTCTTAGTATCGATATTTTTTTGGTTAATTCCTATACATAAATATAAGAATGATACGACAGAATGAACATTATAAAAGGGTAGGTACTAGGCACACCTTGTTTTCTTACAAGATTCTGTTACCCAAAAATAATATTTTTTAATGTTATGTCAAATGTAATTTGCTTTCCCTGACCTCGCCCTTCATGAAATTACCTTTTAAGCCCTTGTGTCAAACAAACAAACAAAATCACATTGTATTCGTTTTTTGCATAGATCTCAGGAACTGTTATGCTTTGTTATTAAGTTGTAATTCAAATGGCAAAAAAATTACGTTTATTTAACAACCTTCAGACAATGACTTAATAATTTTGTACATTGTTTGGCAAACATATTTACACAAGTCCTCGTCAGGATGAGCCTCATTAACTTGTCATGTAAAATAGCTCATTTATTTACCGCTTTAGTTGTCCAATTTTAATACCTGCATTATGTAATATGACATAAAGCATACAATATTCTAATGTAAATCTGTTTAATGCCCACATAATTGGAAGTTCAAAAGGTTGTTCTTTTACATTTTATCAAGCTTTTGTTTTACTTGTAAGTATAAATGATAAACGTTGAGAAACCCCGTAACTTTGCAAAACGTAAAATTGTAAGTGTTTTTACTTGGTAAAAGTTTCATGTTCTTCCATGTTACAACTCATTCGACTAATGCGTATACAATTTCAATGTACCTTTTCCATTTACCATCCGATTCACTCTTGAGTATCAGTTTATCTATTTATAAGTACGCTATAGTACCCTTGTTTCGTTCTTCTTTAAGTTTTTGTTGCAATGCTCTACGTGCGTCTTTCTTCATAGATATATGAATTAATTTATTACTGGATTTCAAACCAACTACGCAGCACTGCAAAGAAAGAAGGAAAACTTGAAACAAACCCTACACCAACCCGT